GGCAGCATTATTTATAATAACTGAAAACTGGAACAGTTCAAACTTCCATCACCATGTGAAACAATGAACAAAAAGCAGTCTATATGTACGATGGAGTATCAGTGGGCAATAAAAAAGAATGCAGCACAGACACAGGCTACAGCATGTATGGACCCTGAAACACTGCGCTGACCGGAAGAAACCAGACACTGAAGACTACATACTGCCTGATTCCCTTTATATAAGATTTCCTCAAAAGGCAAAGCGATAGAGACAGAAAGTAGATCAGTGGCTGCTGGGTCTGGGGTGGGAGGGGGGACTAGATATGGTTTAAAACTGGACTACAATAATGTTACACAACTCTACAATTTTATTAAAAGTCATTGACTTGTATACTTTGAATAGATGAATGGACTTTATGGTAAGTAGGTCAGACCCCAATGAAGCTTTGTTTTTTTTAAAGAAATTATACTGCCATCAACACCGCTTGACAGTGCTGAAGTGTCAGCACCCTCAGCACCAGGCAGTGATATTATCAACCTTTTTTTAAATCAGATTGGTTTAAAAAAATCACATCTTGTCATTCTTAACAGTACACATTGCTTTGATTTCTAGTTAAACTGAACATTTTCACCTATTTGAATCTGTTCTTTTCTTTTTTTTTTGAGGAAGATTAGCCCTGAGCTAACACCTGCAGACAATCTCCTCTTTTTTGCTGAGGAAGACTGGCCCTGAGCTAACATCCGCGCCCATCTTCCTCTTCTTTCTATGTGGGACGCCTACCACAGCATGGCTTGATGAGCGGTGCCATGTCTGCACCCAGGATCCGAACCAGCGAACTCCAGGCCGCCAAAGCGGAACGCGCGCACTTAACCGCTGCGCTACCGGGCCAGCCCCAGAATCTGTTCATTTCTTATCAGGATATACATCTTTTCCTTAAGGACATGTGAAACTACCTTTTGAAAATAGCAAACTTTCTTCAGTCATATGTGGTACAAATATTTTTCCCAGTTGTTCATTAAGTTTTAAAATACTGTTAACAGCGGTGTTTTTTGGGCCATATTGAAATATTCATTTTCATGTACGTAAATGTATCTACATTTTCATTTATCTATATTATCATTTTCATTTCAGCATCTGTCTCTGTGTTACGAGAAGCGATATTCCTTTGAAAGAGTAATCAGAAACTCTAAGTATTATTAGTCAGGCACCCTCAGCCCTACCGGCCTTTCCACTGTAAGAAAACAGATATAACTTAATTTCAAATTTCAAAGCTAGAGGCAGACAGCCTTTTCTTCCCTAAACTTTTATTTTAAGGTAAAGAGACACTACTATTTACTTCCCAAACTCAGGCAAATTGCCTCATTGGAGAATTTCTGATGTCATACGGTAGACATTTCCAATACTTCTAGTGATGAGGAACTGGAAAAATAAAAAGGATGTGCAAATGTGTTTGCTGTTGCTAACCATGCCAGGACCAGAGTCTCGGCCTCACTGCCGATGCCTTTGTAGCACATCGGATCACCACGTCACAACGTGACCACTGCAAGCATCCGTGGACGGCTGACCAGAAGAGTCACTCACCAGCCCACCACCACCTGAGTCTGTGAATATTATCATTTTCCCTGCTATTCCAGTCACTATTAATGGTCATGACCCAGCCCTTAGGTAATAAATACAGGAACCTCAATTTTATTTAAATCTCACAAACTCAGAAAGTGATTTAACGCTACCTGAAGAACATCTCACTGCTGAGGGGTGTACTGCTTCAAAAATACTACAGCGGTCAGCAAAAACCATTTAGTTTAATGTAGCTGTAACCATCACACACAAAAACATAGATAAAACTCACACAGATGTGATTAAGAGCTGTCACAGGATGCTTTACATAGATGTGGATGCTACAGCCTTGAAGTTGGAAAACTGAGGGCTGGTCACCTTATGATACAATCAAAAGAGGCATCCAGATGCCTGATAACAGAAAATGACGTTTTTCCTCTTTGTTTATTTGAGTCCTTACCCATACTTTCGAGACCAGCGCAAATGCAACCTTCTTTCCTTATCTATCCTACAGCTTGTAGAATCTAGACTCTACATTCTGGAACATATGCACAGGCTCAATGTTATTCCGTTGTTTTGAGCCTGCTCGTCTTATCACCTCATTGAAGTAAATATAAGCTCCATGAGCTCAAACCGCACATGCCCCTGGCATGAAAGCAGTGCTAGGATTCCAGATGTTCTTTATCGACTTTGTTAGCGCCACTTCTAGCTCAAGAACAAACTAAACAGGTGCTCACTAAATAACATTTCTTGATTTCTGAGAAAAGGTGAAAAAATGGGCCAAGATGGCAAAAAGCATTGGGGGGAGCACTTTTAAAACTTATTATAATGTAGAACAAGCAGTCCTTTAGTCAAGAAAAATATAGTGGAGTAGCATGTAAATGTCCTGGCAGTTACCCCAGCTTTGTAGATCTCCAAGAGCTAGGCATGGATCGTTTCCAGTTTCTTTCTCTGCATCTAGGCAGGCTTTACCTAACGACAATGGTTTCCAAGGTAAGTCCCAGTGAACTGGAGAATTCCATGAGGCAACTCTAAGGTCTGACTGATAGATTGGATGGCCATGGTAGCCACGTTTATTTTGGGACTGCTTGTCCAGTACCAACCCAGGTCTTCGGCCTCCACGTATAGATGAAAACCCTTCCTATTAACCAAGGAGAGATCTTCCATCTCTGAAGAACCCTCGGATGTAGTGAGGAATGACACACAGGTGCCTGTATACAGGTCTGCCTCTAGTCCCACGATGCCTGGCTAGCTTCTTCATGGAGGCTCTGCCTTCCAGACAAATAAACTAATAATCAAAAGCCAGTTCCTTTACGGTTCTTTTCTCCCCTTCTATTTCCTTAAGAGAGGTGGACAGTGAGGAGAAGTAAAAGGAATGGTTTCATCAGCTCTGGCCCTTGAACCACAAGGATTCCGCCAGACAGGGTTCATTATACCTAGAGCTCATGCACACTTAACCTACTGTTCATCTAACTTTGTTAATAATTCCCAGGAAAGGAGTTGGCACCAACTAACTCCGTAGCCCATTTCTTGATGACTAGTTCCTCTGCCTCTACTAGAATTCCCAACCTTGTCATTAAACCTCAGAGAAAATGATGAAAACGGTAGCATGGTTTTAATATCCTCATTCTAGTACAACAAGGCTGAAAAAACAATACTTTCATAAAAATTAAGTTTAAATAATGAACCTCAAGTATCAGTTCTCTCAATACACCATCCATCCTCGTAGGCTGGAAGTCTCTTTGGAGTTTCTAAATTCCTCTCGACCCATTCCCTACTAAATGAAGAGAATGAGTAAATAATGTGTGAAAGTAAGGACTGTGGACCTACGGTATCTAATTAAATCTCTGGTACTAGCTATTGGTTGACGAGATGTTGGGTAACTCACCTCTCGAAGCCCCAGTTCAATGGAGGGAACACTTCTGAAGGTGCTCTGATTAAATGAGACAACGGAACTCAACTCTTCCCACAGTCAGAGGCACATAGTACGTGCACAACAAACTCTAAGAAAGGCAAAAGCTCCTGTATTTTTAAAATTTCTGAATAATATATTCCCTTACACACACAAATCAGTCTACAGTCTATAACTGATAAAACTATACAGACATTACTTGTAATTCTGCTTCAGATGTAATACCCTCGCTGGTTGACACAGTTGGAGACACCGGGCCAGGCGGTGGGAGATTGCCAGGCACCTTCTTAGGCACAGCGGCCGCACACCGGTTTCCTTAGGGTGGAGCAAAGCCTTCCCTTCCCTCCGCAGCCGGACTCGGAGGGAAACCCGCGTCCCCGTGCCAAACACTTGGCGTCCGCGCCCGCGCGGAAGGGGCCGTAACAGTCCGCAAGGAGCGGCAGGTGAGCCTAACAGGACCCCAGCCGGCCCGGCGCAGCGGGGGGCGCGGAGAGCGCGGAGCCCGCCTTCCCCGCGCGGGCGCGGTCCGGGGCCCTGCCCTGGCAGCCACAGTGGGCGCCCGGCCGCCGCCGACCCCGCCGCTCCGGCCGCGAGCTGCCGGCAGGTCCCGGCCCCGCCCGCGCCGCCCGCAGCCCTGATTGACACCCGAGTGGGTACATACGGGTCTGCGGCGGCGCCGAGCGGGGGGTGAGCGCTATTTTAAACATGGCTTTCCTCCTGCCTGAGCCTCGGGGCCATCGCGGCGCACCCGGCGGGGCCACGGCCCACACGGGAATAACCCAACATCTGTCCGACTTTTTCCGATCTCCGTCTGCGCGTACTTGTTTCCCCCCTCTCCCTGCTTTCCCTCCACACGAATCACAACCTGGCAGTTTGCAGAGGAAACTCCCCTCCTGGAAAGGGGAATGGAAAGCGCTTTTGCCTCTTGTTGGAGGTGGAAACCATTCCAGAGAGAATGAGTTCCAAAAAGAGGGGGAGCCGCGCCCCTGGAGGGAAAGTAATCGGAGATCGATGAAGACGGAGAGAAGGAGGGAGAAATGTCTGCAACAGGCATCTGAAAACAAGCGTCGCCCAGTTACTACCGAGCGCGTTCCGCGCAATCCATGGCAGTGACAAGATTTGCAGTAAGCACAATCCGAAGGCCTGTGAAATCTTTTTTGGTAAGACTTACCTTTCTCTTCGGCATAATGACCACGTTCGTGCAGCTAAAAAGTAAAGCAACGTGCTGGAAGCGCTGGCACGGCCGCTGGATCCTGCCGCCGCCGCTCACGCGCAGGGCACGGCGCACCCGGCCTCTCCGACCTGCACCTCCCGGCTCCCCCCAGGGGCCCTCTACTCGCTCGCCGCTCACTCCTCCAATGAGGAGCCCCGGCAGCCGGCCGCGAGGCCCCATTGGTTGCGGCAACGTTCTAAATTCCACGGGGGCGCGCCCTTCTCCGCGCGCACGGTACGCGCTGTTGTAGTTTCCACTTGACCGAAAAAAAAAATCTGCCTGGCGACTGAGCATGCTCAGTTCAACTAGTGACCCGCCCCCCCCCCCCCCCCCCCCGCCAAAACCACGCGATCTTGGAGTTTCATTGTTTTGCTGCTCCTTCTTTCGATTGTATAAATAGGAGCAGTGTGGGCCTTCCTAAGGAGGAAGAAGAGTGCAGGGACACATTAACTTTAAAACGTAAGTATATACATAGCAGGCGCTTTATATGCTTCCTACCCATATATGACAGAGACCTGTAAGAGTGGCAAGGTTCTGTTCTGGAAGAGTCTGGCAGTCTCTAAGGGTCTTGGTTTCCCCCCTCTAGATATCTCACAACAATAATCCCTAAAATTGCTTAGGTCGAATTTCCTAAAAATCTGTGATTACAAGTCATTCACTAATTCAGTGTACTTCAAACTAGGCTTGAAGATGAATAGAGTATGTTTGTTATGGAAATTAGAAAAACAAACAAGGTCAGAAGAGATTATTTTATATTTTAAACATGTATTTAAATATACATCATTTAAATATGCATAATTTAATATTTCCCAAAGTACTGCAAGGCATTAAAACTGGCATTGCAATAACACTTCTGAATTTATTTTATCAGATCAGTTTTATCCTGATACTAAAACAGTGAAAGACCTGGAAAGAAGAGAGAGCTACGGACCAATCTCCTTCATGAACATAGATGCAAAAATTTTGAACAAAATGTAAGTAAATCAAACCCAACAACATTTAAAAGGATTAGACATCATCACCAGTGATGTTTATCCTAGGAATGCAAAGTTGGTTTAACACCTGAAAATCAATCAGTGTAATTCATCATATTAATAGAATAAAGGAAAAAACCCAATATGATCATTTTAACAGACACAGGAAAAGCACTAGTGAATGGCTAAGCAAATTGTGGTAAATACATGCAATGGAATACTACTCAGCAATAAAAAAACAAAATATTTCTACAGGGATGAATGTCAGAAACAGAATGCTATGTGAAAGAGTTCAAATACAAAAGACATGCTGGATAATTCCATTCATATAAAATTATAGAAAAAGTGAAAGTAGGCAAGGTTAGTATTTTTTTATTATTTTTTTTAACGTTGGCCCTGAGCTAACATCTATTGCCGATCTTTTTTTTTTTTCTTTTTTCTTCTCTCCAAAGTCCCTCAGTACATAGTTGTATATTCTAGTTGTAGGTCCTTCTAGTTCTGCTCTGTGGGACACTGCCTCAGCGTGGCCTGATGAGCCGTGCTAGGTCTTTGGCCAGGATCCAAACAGGCAAAACCCTGAACCGCGGAAGCAGAGTGTGGGAACTTAACTACTCAGCCATGGGGCTGGCCCCAAGGTTAGTTTCACACTCGCATTAGAAGGCAAAAGTTTTCATCTTAGGAAAATGTACTAAAGACATTACAAATATTGCCAAATCTAGTTTGGTTACACAGAGGCTGCAAATATATATTAAAGAATGTCATCAAGTAATTAATTTTAGTGGTTGACTTTTTCTTTATTAATTTTCAGAATAATGAATTGGTATCCTAGCAAACTCTAAGTGGCAGTGACTTTCTGTTTTGGAATATCTTTAGGAACTCATGGATTTTTATGTGCTTGGTGTGCTTTAACTTACTGCAATTATTACAGTTCTTTTTTTGACGCTCATATTGCCCTGCTGTGAAAGCCTTTTTGAATTAGTGCCTATGCCCTTCTGGCATGATGTCAATTGTCTTGATAGATTCCTTGCTTTCAGGCATTCAGTGCATCACAGTATACTCAAAAGAACTGGGATAAAACCAGTTATTTGCTTTAGAGCTGGATAAAAACTTAGAGGTTAACAATTTTACCATTAAAAGTAATGTTTAGAATAAAGATAGCTTAGAAAAGAGTTAATTTGTAAAGTGCCTGATGGTTTTTAAAAAAAAAGCTGGTGAAGACCTTTTTAATAAGAAGATCTGTGTGGGACAGATGCGGGGCAGTGTGTGAAATCTGGGTTGGATTGTTTCTCTTTATGGAGATAAAAAGGTGTCACAACGAAGGTGGGACTACGGTGAATTTTTTCCTTCTGTGATGAAAAATAACTCGTAAAGTTGGCTTCTTTAGTTGATATTTTTCAAGGCTAAACACTTTCAACAACAGCGAACAAAATTGTGAGTGTTTTTACTGTGCAAAATAATAAAACAGCTATGATGAAAGTACAGCTTGCTAGTTGTATGAAGAAGTTGATTGTGGGGACCGTGGGTCCCTTGAGTCTCTTAGTTCATTTACAAGTGATGAAGATAACAGCTTTAGTTGCAAAATAGATAACAGCATTGGTTTTCTTCCCTTTGAAGAGGATTGCACCTGCCTGAGCAGGACTCTGGGCAAAGGAGGGTTCTGCCTGTACCTTCAGGAGCTTTCGAGGTCTCGGGGAATAACCACAGCCCTCTGCTGGCAGCCCTGGGGTAATAGGAGTAGGCACAGAGAATGATTTGGTTGGGTGGCTAGAATTCCAGGTTAGGAGATAAAGACACCTGAGCAGAAAGGAGCAGAAGACAGTCAAGTCTTCTCTACAGGATGTGGATACTATCCTAGCCAAGACAGACAAGGGGTACATTAAGGGAGTTACTGCCTGAGGAAGAAGGGAGGACAAATTAGTGAACGAACTTCTTTTCCAATTCCAACTCCTCTTCCCTTCTTTCCTACTCAAAACTGTTGGAATCCTACACCAACCCCAGCATTTTTCACACAGCAGGGCAAAACCATTTATGGTGTCATGACTGTCATTAAGAAAAAGGAGAGAGAGAGAAGGAGAAAAAGGAAAAGAAAAGAAAGGGCAGAGCATAGAAAATGTCAGAGTGCATTTCACATGGTAAAGTAAGTAGTGCTTATAAAATGTTTCCATTTCCCATACATTTGCACATAAACACACACGTACATATGTATGGTGTGTGTGTTTGTGTGTATGTGTGTGTTCTAGGTTTTGACTTGAAATGTATTTTTAGGATGGGTCTTAGTGAAAAAACTTTAAAGGTACTGCACAGCCCTAATGAATCTTGTGGATCTTTGGGGCTCCAGCACTTTCTTCCTCTGGAAGAAAGGTGCTTAATTTTCAAATCTCGAAGGGAAATTTTGAAAGGAAAGGATCACTTGCAAATCACCGCCTTGTTGATGTGTCCCTCCTTCCCTCTTTCAGCAGGCACGGGCAGGCTTGCTTCGGCTGTTGCTCTAAGTGATGGCGGATTGCTGGAGAAGTCATGTCTAGAATCTGTGCTGTTGCCTCTGACAGCACTGTGATTCCAGGTTCGGTTACTGTTCTTCAGTAAATAGGCCAAAGAATTCCAAAGGTGAATGAATTCAGAAATGTAAGAAAGCAACATCGAAAACAACACACAGGAGGTGGCAAAGGAGTACTCTATTTTGTTTGTATTTTTATTAGCCAAGTCTCTTATTTAATTGGATGCCAACTTTTGAAGAGACCACGTTTAGCTTTTACTAGGTAACGAGGATAGTCCAAGAGATCCTACATCACAGAGCTGCCTGATAATAATGCAGATTCCCGGACTCCAACCCCCAACCTACTGAATCAGAATCTTTTATGGTGGGACCTGGGAATCTGCATTTCAAACTAGCTTCTCATGTGATTCTTATACTAGAATTTGAGAATTCTAGACTAGGCCTTAACTTTCAACAAATAATTGCTGAATGCTGGTACTTAGATTCTAATGACATATGTCTGTAAAAGCCTGTTGACCTGTTAACCCACTTCCAAAGCAGGAAGTGGGTTAATAAGTGTGAGTGCAACTTCCCCTATAGACCTCACCTTGTGCTTTGTGCTCCATCTCTCCTCAGGTGGTGCTTGGCACTAACTGCTTCCTTCACTTTCCTCTTCTCTACGTGCAAGGAGCCTGAAGGGTGACTAAAAACGGCACACCTCCAGATTCCTGGTGTGAAAATTAATAAAGGAAACCTCAACTAAGAGTGGAGTGGGGGAGGCCTCTAGAGGGAGCCCTCATGCCCTACCACTTGTGCCAGTCAGCCCAGATGGGAAGCGTTATCCCTAACATCTCCGACAGGAAAGTCTCTCTACTACCCTGGCGGGAGAAAGGGAGATTTCTGTTAGCCCAGCAACAAGCGCAGCCAATGGAAAACACCCCAGCTCAGCCAATGGGCAGCCGTTGTCACCCTGAGCTCTTACTTTCCTCAAGGAACTTTCATTTTTCCTTTGTTAATGACTTCCTTTCCCCACTGTCCTTTCTATAAAAGCTTTCCATTTTGCGTAACTCCTTGGGGCATCTCTGCTTGCTAGATTCCTGAATCATTTGGTAAAGACAATTAGATCTTCCAGTATACTCAGTTGAATTTTGTTTTTTGACACTAGAAAAGCACTTCCTCCCATCTTCCCTGGTAGTGCTCTAGGCAGCTCCTGGAGCCCCTGGCAAGATGAAATCCCCCACAGCCTCAAAGGGAACCCGACTTGCACAAAGCCCACAAGCCCCACCCTTTCAAGGCTTTATTATTTCAATGATTATACAAGCATACCTTGTAACTACATTAACAGCAAGACCGTCCAGGGCATTCTCTGATCTTCCAACAGGAACCCAGTTTTTGTTTTTCCCAGCTTTCAATCAAATTTAATCTGTGTGCAGATTCTTTACCCCAAGTACGTTTTAGACAGTTTTCCCACCCCCAAGTCCTTTTCAGGTTTAATCTCTGTGTTATTTTCCTCTCCTTCTTCTTGTTATTGCTGCTTAAACTCACAAGAGTGTAATTAATTTGGTCTTTGTAGCTCCCAAATGACTATTTGGGGGTGAATTAGCCATGCTCAGTAGCTAGAACTGGGGATTGAGCTACGTTCATTCAGCCATCCCTTTCTGCCAGATCGTTAGTTAGCATGTCCGGTGCCAGAGCCAGCCAGGTTCAAGGAGGCTAGAGCTGAGGGAGGGGAATCCCCAAGGTTCATGGGGAGGACACCGCAAAGTAGGGACACATCCCATCCCCTTAGGGGAAAACCACAAGCTGCAAGGTGCCAAAAGCAGTGAGGGGTTGTGGCAGAGCCCTCGGCTGCGTTACACATCCTTGTAGACTACTGCCATTGCTAGCACACTCTCACGCAGGGCCACTCCTGCCCTCTAAGGGGGGAGGTTGGTCACCCAGGTGTAATGTCTTCTGCATTTCTTTCAAACCGTGGGCGCTTTAAAAAACATCCAATAGGGGCCGGCTCCGTGGCTGAGTGGTTAAGTTCACGCGCTCCGCTGCGACGGCCCAGTGTTCGGATCCTGGGCACGGACATGGCACCATTCATCAGGCCACGTTGAGGCAGCGTCCCACATCCCACAACTAGAAGGACCTGCAACTAAGATATACAACTGTGTACAGGGAGGGTTGGGGAGATAAAGCAGAAAAAAAAAAAACATCCAATAGCTCATCCATTCACATCTGTGAATGTGTCACTATTCACGGGGTCCTGCCTTTCAGGGTAGATCAGACCACTTCCTTTTCTCAAAGAAAGCAAAAAATTCTGGGTTTAGGAAAATGAGAATCAAATGAGTCATTCCAGAAAACACCTTATGACAGTTGGAGAGGATTTTCAGGTTAGCTTGGTTAATAACTATTAGAATTCTCAAACACTAGGTAAGAGTTAATAGAGGCAGTAAAATGAGTTTGACAGGTCAGAATGAATTCCAGCCACAAGGCCATAAGTTCTTACCCAGCAGTGGAAAACTAGCCTGAAAATGCGCCATAATCTTTAAGGCTGCTTTTAAGCACAGAGGCTTTTTTGAGTTTATTGTTGTTTTTAAGCAGGGGATTGTGCTATTTCCACAGAAGATCTCATCCTTTCCCCTTTTCTCATTGCTGTTCCCACTTCTGTGCTCCAGAATCTTTAGCCAATTTGCCTCTTTATATGTCAAAAAAATTTTTTTTAAAGTTTTAGCTATTTAAATAAATGCCTTGAATTTGCCGTCAGAATTCAAATCCCAAGTCATTCAGCTACGATCCATTACTTAACCTCTTTGGACCCTGGTTTCGTTGTTGTAAAATGATGATGATAATGTTTTTCCAAGGCAGACTCTGCTAGTTGTCTCCCTGTATTCATGCTTGCCTTCTTCCTTACTCACAGGATTCTGACTTGGGTGATAGTCCTGGCCTAAAACACTTTAGTTCCCCAGTTCCCCTGCAGAGAGAGGTTGCTGTGTGACACTGTTTTGGGGACTGAGACGTGAGTGGAAGTCAGGAGGTAGGAGCGTAAACACCACTGTTGCGGGGCAGACCCAGCCCAGCAGCTGCCTTCGGCCTCTGTTTTTCCCTTTCTTCCATCCTGGAAGGTGATGATAATGTCTGGAAGTAGAAGAGCTATCTTATGTCTGTGAGGATGAGGGCCACAAGTTTAGGAGGAGAAAGACAGAAGTCTGGGTCCCTGTACTGGCCCTGGATTGCCCCAGTCCAGGCTACTTGTTAGGTATGGAAAAGAAACACTGTTCTTGACCAAGCCACGGCAGATGGATGTCTGTGACATACCGCTGAATACAATCCCTGACCGATACACTGCCTGATAGAATCGGTGTTAAAATTGAAGACACTAAACTATGGGAATGCATGTGTGCCCGAAGCCTAGTACTGAACATATTTTGTTTGAACAAAGTATATTATATTCCTCCATAGATTATAAAGGAGAGCACAGGAAAAGTTTAACTTTTCTTGAATCCCTAGGGGCCTGATTAGGAGCATTTAGTGTAAACCTCTTAAAATTGATGTAGGCTGGGATAAAAATTATAACCTTTACGTTTTATACTTAAGTTCTACAGCTTTGCTGTTGCCATGGAATGTGCTGCCCCGCACCGTGGCCTACTGCCATGTGTGAGGTGATGGATGTGTTGGCTGTTGCTCAGCCCCGTCTTTGTAGCGTGCCTCCCTGCACTGTAGATGTTGGAGTTGAAAAACCGTATTCCAGAGCCCACAGCAGCCCGGGTTCTGGGTGTGATTTGGATTTGGTGAATCAGATGCACTAGCATGAGATTTGGAAAGTTGATTAGGAGAAGGCCACACTTAGCCATGTCTACTGTGTCTGCTGCTTTCTGTTTCCCTCTGGCAACACCAGCAGAACTCCCAGGCACGAGCTTTGTGGGTTTTGAGAGGCAGGGCTCCCCGCATCCACTCTGTAGACGTACACTGTAGCAGGAGTGGTATGGTCTGGAACCGGCAGCGAGAGTGGCTTCCTGATTGAGAAAGTGTTTTTATTTTCATGGAGTCCTGACACTAGTGGATTCCTGCTTGCAGAAGGAGCACAGCCCCGTTGATGACCTGCTTCTGGGGTGTGACTTGGGAGAGTTTTCTGAAAGCTCACCTAGAGTCTATTTCTTTAGTCCTCCCAGCTATCCCATAAGCCACTGAATCCTTGAGTCAATCCCTTCCTCCTTAAATTAGACACAGTGGGTTCTGTTTTCTGCAACTGAACCCAGAGCTTTAGAGCTTCTATCAGTGTTGCTTACCAAATATTTCCAGCTTTAAGGAGCACCCTGCCTTCCCCTTGAAGCTATGAGAATGGAAGCAGATGCTGAGATGGAGACTCTCTGTGTCCCTGAGGGACCACGGTGAACAGAGCCTTTGGAAGACCCCTCTAGCAGACAAGTGAAAATAACCCTTTTATTTAAGCTGTTGGTATTTGGGGGAAATTTGTTACCACAGGATTATCTATCTTATCCTGAAATGATACAGAACTTGGAACCCAAGAGTAGGATGCTGCTTTAATAATGAAATAAACCCTAAAATATGTGGCATTGACATAACAGCTGGTCAGGGTGAGTCAAAGAAATTAGTAGTGAAGACTGGAGGAATGGAAATCCACATTTTCTAGTGGTGAAACGTTTGGTAAAAGTGTTGCCTGCAGTAAATTGGAAGGCAAAAGACACACCTAATTTTAGGGAAGAGGTTGGAAACAAATTATTATTACTGTTTATTGGTTGCTATTGGTATAGCTGCATTTGGTAAGATCTTACAAGAAAGAGATATGTTCAGAGAAGAATTGGTCAATTAGTAAGAATAAAAGAGACGAGAGAGTCTACAAATTCAGAGACTTTTAAGGTTGGAAAAGGCACTGGTTCCACACAAACATAGAAGATAAAATTGCTACTTGGAGCAACAAAGGCCTATTAAAACTCAGCTTTGCAGCACCGATAAGATCACTGAGCGTGGATTAGGACGTGGGACCCTAAAATTCCTTTCAATTGGACCAAAAGACTCAAAATGACCTAAACAGGGGAAAAAGTGTTGCTCCCACTGCTAGGTTCAAGGAACCTACAATTAGGGAGGGAAGGAGGGTCAGACAGACAGACAGTCAGTCACTGGGGCAAGAGAGCACAGAAATACAGCAAAAAAATATGCAAGAATATGGGAGAAAGAAAACATGGGGGTAGGTACAAGTCAGCCAAGTTTAAGTTTGGAAGAGTTTTACCGCTAAAAGAGGCACCAACCGGGATTAAATGTGATTGTGACTATTTGAGCCTTAAAATGACCCTCGGACCCCCTAGGATCTATAGGTGGGTAGTAGGCTGATAAAGCAGCTCCACCTCTGAGGCAGCTGTCTCCTCCAACACCTACCTCAGACAAGGCCAAGAAGGATGATGGGAAACGAAGAGCCTCCCAAAGGGAAAATCCAAGAACTGTGGAGCTCAATAGGCAGAGGAGCCCCTGCTAGGAAACCCACATGGAGCTATTCAGAGAACGTTTCTCACCTTCGGGGTAGGGGGTCTAAAGTTTTGCCCAGTCTAACATCAGAATTGTAACAGGTCAGTGACTGTCACGTTTCCGTTCTTCCTTTTGTTTTTGTTTTTCTGAGGAAGATTGGCCCTGAGCTAACATCTGTTGCCAATCTTCCTCTTTTTGCTTGAGGAAGATTGTCACTGAGCTAACGTATGTACCAGTCCTCCTCCTCTTTATGTGGGATGCCGCCACAGCATGGCTTGACAAGCAGTGCTAGGTCTGTGCCAGGATCCATACTGGTGAAACCCTGGGTGGCCGCAGCAGAACGTGCGAACTTAACCACTACGCCACCAGGCCGGTTCCCCTGTTCTTCCTATTTGTAATGTGAACGTTTATCAGTTATGCTGATCCTGCTCCCCCTCTGGATAATGTGTGTGTGTGTGTGTGTGTGTGTTTGGGGAGGGCGCATCTCTGGATCAAGAGGAGACGGACCTGCTGCAGAGGCCCCTTGCCCGTTATCCCCTGATGGGAGGACCACCCAGAGACTCCAGGCTTCGGGCTTGATGCCATCACTGGGACTTTTGAGTTATCCTCCCTGGAAAGGGAGTGAGTGAATGCATTTCGTATGCAGAAAGGAAGGTGAGAGGAATGCTTCGTGCCCAGGAGAGGAGATTGTGATAAAAATTAGTGCTGTTCACCAGTACATCTGCCATGCTCCTTATGGGTCCTTGCTAGGACTGTCCTTTCCCTCCCCCCGCTTTCGAAGTTAGGCATAGCTATGTAACTTGCTTTGGCTAATTAAATGTGAACAAGTGACATTTGTCTTTCCTGAGCACCGTTGTTTTTGTTTTTCATTGCGGTAGAAACCACACAGCATAACATTTACCATCTTAACCACTTTTAAGTGTATAATTCTGTAGTGTTAAGCATATTCACATGAATGTGCTTGTGAAATAGATCTCTAGAACTTTTTTATCTTGCAAAACTGAAACTCTGTACCCATTAAACAACTTTCCTTTTCTCCCTCCCCCAACCCCTGGTAACCACCATTCTACTTTCTGTCTTTATGAATTTGACTACTCTAGGTACCTCTGGTAAGTGGAATTAATCGGACAGTATTTGTCTTTTTGTGACTGCCTCTTTCATTTAGCATAACGTCCTCAAGTTTCATCCATGTTGTAGCATGACAGGATTTCCTTCCTTTTAAAGCCTGAATAATATTCTGTTGTATGAGTAACCTACCTTTGGTTTGTCCATTCATTCATTAGTGGACGTTTGAGTTGCTTCCACCTCTTGGCTATTGAGAATAGTGCTGTTTTGCTGAGCACTGTTCTAAAGAGCCGGGGTGTGACTCACTATGTTCCCTTTCTCCTGCTGCTGTGAGCGGGAGGTGCACATTAAGATGAGCTTCTTGCAGCCTGGGTCCCTGCATTAGCAAAAGGAGCAGAGCTCACTCCTGACCCTTGTTGGACATGAACAGTGAGCAAGAAATAAACTTTTGTTGTTTAAAGCCACTGAGATTTTAGTTCTTTTTTTCCCCAGTGAAAACTGATAAGATCTTAACTTTTTAAATTAAAATTTGACTCT